GTGGCACCGATGGGGACCAAGGATGGTGACAGGGATGGTGACAGGGACAGCAATGGTGGCACCAGTGGGGACAGGGACGAGGACGGTGATGGTGGCACCAATGGGGACAGGGATGGGGACAGGGATGAGGATGGTGATGGTGGCACCGATGGTGACAATGATGGTGACAGTGACAAGGACAGTGATGGTGGCACTGATGGGGACAGGGATGAGGACGATGATGGTGGCACTAATGGTGACCAACGATGGTGGCAGGGACGAGGACAAGGACAGCGATGGTGGCACCAGTGGGGACAAGGACGGTGGCACTGGTGGGGACAGGGATGAGGACAGCGATGGTGGCACCGATGGGGACCAACGATGGTGATGGGGACCGTGGTGGTGGCACTGGCGGGGACAGGGATGGTGACAAGGACAGTGGCACCGATGGGGACAGGGATGAGGACGATGATGGTGGCACCAATGGTGACAATGATGGTGACAGGGATGAGGACAAGGACAGTGATGGTGGCACCAATGGGGACAGGGATGGGGACAGGGATGGTGATGGTGATGGTGGCACCATTGGGGACACTGGTGGTGACAGGGATGGTGACAAGGACAGTGGCACTGATGGTGGCACCGATGGGGACAGGGATGAGGACGATGATGGTGGCACCAATGGTGACAATGATGGTGACAGGGATGAGGACAAGGACAGTGATGGTGGCACCAATGGGGACAGGGATGGGGACAGGGATGGTGATGGTGATGGTGGCACCATTGGGGACACTGGTGGTGACAGGGATGGTGACAAGGACAGTGGCACTGATGGTGGCACCGATGGGGACAGGGATGAGGACGATGATGGTGGCACCAATGGTGACAATGATGGTGACAGGGATGAGGACAAGGACAGTGATGGTGGCACCAATGGGGACAGGGATGGGGACAGGGATGGTGATGGTGATGGTGGCACCATTGGGGACACTGGTGGTGACAGGGATGGTGACAAGGACAGTGGCACTGATGGTGGCACCGATGGGGACAGGGATGAGGACGATGATGGTGGCACCAATGGTGACAAGAACAGCGATGGTGGCACCAGTGGGGACAGGGAAGAGGACAGCGATGGTGGCACCGATGGTGACCAACGATGGGGACGGGGACGATGGTGGTGGCGCTGGTGGGGACAGGGACAAGGACAGTGACATTGATGGGGACAGGGATGAGGACGGTGATGGTGGCAGCGATGGTGACAATGATGGTGACGGGGACAAGGACACCAGTGGTGGCACGAGTGGGGACAGGGATGGTGACACTGATGGGGACAGGGATGGGGACAGCGATGGTGACACCGACAGTGGCCTCACTGATGCCAGCAGGGGTGACACCGATGGTGACAGCGATGGGGACAGTGATGGTGCCACCAGTGGTGGCCTCAGCGGTGACAGTTGGGTGATGGTGACGGTGACAATGACGGTGGCCCCGATGGTGGCCCTGATGGTGACAGTGACACCGACGGTGGCCTCAGGGGTGACATTCGTGGTGACACCGACAGTGGTGGTGACACCCATGGGGACACCAATGGTGGCCCTGATGGTGACGGTGACACCGGCGGTGACCGCGATGGTGGCACCCATGGTGGCACCCATGGGGACAGTGATGGTGACAGTGACAGCCATGGTGGCCTCAGGGGTGGCAGTGGGGGTGACAGTGATGGTGACAGCCATGGGGACACCAATGGTGGCCCTGATGGGG